ACGAACCTAATTTTATTTTAATAAAATAAATTTAAAATTCAAATATGATAGGAAAATACATTTGGACATCATACTCCTTACATGTAAATCAAACTAAAAAGTAAATTAATTAAGACATAAATAAATAAATGAATACAAATTCATAAAAGGGACCCGCAGGTGCTATACGAAAACGACGTCATCTTGGGAATAGGCAAAAACATGAGCCGAAGGCTATAAGCGGGAAAGGGGACCACTAACATGGTTCCCATTTCTTCATTGTCAAGCACGTGATTTTTTAAATCCTACAACATATTTAAAGTTATTTTGATTTGATAGTTTAATTGTACAACACGCCATTTAAAATTAATAAAATTTTAACTAAATTGTATAAATTATATGTTTTAAAAAGTTATTAAAAATAAAATATGCAAGAATAAATAAATAAAAATATTTTCAATCATTATAAGAAAAAAATTATTTAATAACATACAAATAATATACCAACTATATTACCAAATGACTGAAAGTATTGGTCATTCAGGCATTCATTTAAATTAAAAATTTAAGTTTTTAATTTTTTTCAGCATAAAATTAAATTAAGTTTTACTATAATTAATATAGTATATAATTTTATTTTAAGCACTAGATAAAATAATGCTATATAATTATTTAATTTTGCATTCGAGTGTGTTTTTTTATATGAAAAAAAATATTATTTTGTTGTGAATCTCAAACCATTCACTTTATAATCCGATAAAAATTTTTTTTAAATTAACTAATAAGATAATAATAAATATATAGTAATAAAATTATAATAAAATAAAAATTTATTAATTTAAAAAAGTTTCAGGGTTCAAATCACTTTATCTTTCTTAATCACTCGTCTTTTGAATTAATTATTAAATTAAAAATATTTTTTTATGAAGTAAACCACTTTAATTATCTACTAAAAAAAATGTCCAATTATTTTTTTAGAATATTGTACATAATCTAATAAAACTATTTATTACTTTAGATATAGTTTTCTTCAAATTTTTTATTATATTCATAATAAGATGATTATTAAAAATTGGATAGTGAAAAAAATTTATTATTAAATTATCTAATATCTTGATTTATTATATAATTAAAATATAATATTAATTATAATATCTTAAAGTTTATCTGATAAATTCTACATAATTTATTTATTTAAAGTAATAAATCAATTGACATACATATTTAAAATATAATTAGCATAATATAACACGAATTATACTTCATAGATATTTATTTTCAGTTTTAATTTTAATTGTATTTAACAACAAAAAAAGTATTTTAAACTGAAAATTCTTATATTTTAAATGTTTTTCCGAATTTAGTTTTTATTTTTTGAGAAAAAAAAGACAAGTAAATAATAATTTTTCGACTTTCTGAAATAAAATTTGAAAAAAAAAAAAAAAAAAGCGGCACAAGCCTGTGTTAAAAACGTAGGGACACGTGGTACAATTTGATTGCGCCTTCATAAATCTATTTGTCCCGTCCTGGTAAAGTCACCTGAGAGATAAGCACCGAAGATTTTTTAAAAAGAAATTTTAAAAAAATATCCGAAAACTATTTTCCCTCGTGAATCGTTCGCTCACGCAAAACCTCACACTGAAGCTAGCGAATATAATAATAAGAGGTGGTAAAAAAACTCACGTGTTCAGCCACGTGTCACTCATGCCAACACGATCATACTCTCTTACAGTTCGGTGACGCACGTGGTATTTGACCGGTGAATGCCCGTGCGCGACTGGACCAGCCGGTAGCCATAAATGGAGAACGAATCTTTTTCTTTTATTTTTTAATCGTACGGTCCATATCTCACATGTGATAATAAAGCCTCAAACAAAATAAAAAGCTCCGTCTCTCCGCATTTACATTTTGAAAGACCCTCTCTCTCTCTCTCTCTCTCTCTGCTTTTCTCTTTCTTTCTCTGCTCAAAGAATCTAAGCATTTTGATTGTGGATGGTTTTCGACGGATCAGGGAAGAAGAGTACCTGGTTGAATCCGGCGTCGTTTTCTGAAATTCTAAGTTTGTTTATTCCTTCTCTGTAGTGATTATTTTCTGCGGTTATGATGGAGAGAGACTTTCTCGGTTTGGATACAAAAAATCGTCACGGTACTGTCAAGGAGGAAGCTAGTGATGGCTCTAAAGATTCAGGTATATTTGCTTTTCATCTTTTTCTTTCTTTCGTTTTATCTTTTCATGCTCAGTTCTTCAATTGGTTCTATTTCTTCATTTCTGTCTTACCTGAAAAGCTAATACTGTTTAATTCTGTTCGAATTCTTTTCATATTGAGTAAAAACTCAATTAATTTTCCGTCTATTAATTTGTTTTCGTTTTAATTGGAATTTTTATCATCTATATACGTTTATACGTATATAATTTGAGTATTTCTCTGTTGCTGGAGGTGAAGACTGATGCAATTACCGAGTTTAGTTCTGAAGCAGGGCCGCGGGGGTGACCTGTCTCTTTCATTAAATCGTTGTTTTGTTTTCCTTCGGTTTCTCGAGAAACAAACAGGTGGTTTAAAGGAGAGAGTTAGACACACGAGGAAAATATTTTCGTTTAGTTAAATAATTTTATTCTTTAAAACTCGACTTTCAACATTTGCGCTTGTAAGGAACGGGTACTTTACTGCACGCTAAGGAGACCTTATAATAAAGCAAAATAGATACTTTAATTGTTGAAAAATAAATAGATATTACCGAGTAAAAGATAATTTTATTCTGGCATAACTAAATGCTAACGTGCGCCTGAAATGTACAATTCCGGGCCAAGTACACCCCAAAGTCAAATTAGTATTTCATTTCCCAAAAAAGTAAAGTCAACCTGATATAGTCTCTCTCTATATCTCCCTCTTTCTTTTTTATATATTTTAATTTATTTACTGTTGGATAATTCATAATTCGCTATATAGAAAAATACGGGTAGTAATTGTACAGTATTTGGTGAAAATTTACTCCTATCTTTTTTTTCTTAGATTTTCGAGATCTGAATATTTAGAAATATGATAGTAACATTGATTAGGACTTTTTGGTGGTATATAAGATAAGGGTGTGCTAAGCAATGTGGGTATATATTAAAATGCCACGTTGAGTTGGCATTTTCTTTTTATTTAATAAATATTTTATTTAATAATGAATAATAATGCCTTGCTAGTTTCTCCAAATATTTATGTTATAAAATTAACTGCTTAGGCTGGCCAAGAGAAAAAAAAATACTTTCCATGATTAAGTATTGCAAGAAAAAACATGGTTTTATATTAATTAACAATGTGATTCATATAATAAATAGCTTTTCCTTTTCCGGGGAATAGGTAATGCCATATATTATATTGTTTTGTGAATAGAATATTGTTAGCACAAGGCAATATTTTGCAGTTTTATAATGTATATGAAATGTGCCCTTTTGGAAAGTAGTGCCTGGACATGTGGTGTGGGACACTAAATATACTTTTGGGTTTAAGGCACTAGAATATAATTACCCCGAAAATATAAAGGTGTTAAAGAAAGAGTTGATGTATCGTTATATATATAGAATTATTAAATTATTTGGGTTGATTTTTTCTTATCGTGTGGCGTATAATTCAAATCTTGTGAACCTTGGGTTTTTAGAGTATTTTACAATTTCTCTATCGATTTTGAACGTGTTAATTAATTAGCTCGTTTCCCCTTGAAAGGGAATAGAAATATTAATAGGTAAGTATAGTTCTTATATCTTTTTTTTTTTTGAAAACTGATTTAGGGTCTGTTTCATCTCTTGAAGTCTGGAGTGAATGGACCAAGACTCTGATTTTTCTAGATATTTACGGTAATTATGGACAAACCATATTGAGATTTGCAGTTCAGCTGTTTGACATCTTTCTAGAAATTTTCTATATCAAGTTTGACAAGATTCTTTTTGGCATTTGGTTTTTGAAAGGCATTTGATCATCTTGTATTCTTTGACCATTTGTCTATCTCCTGCTTAGTTCTTAGGTTTTGAGGTATTTCAGGTAAATGATGCCTTGATATTATATTGTCTCTTTGGTTTTAACTACGTTGGATCTAATATTTTGTTTGGATCGTAAGTACCAATGCATCATACTCTGACAAAATTTCTCATTCCTCCTTCGGTGCAGCATCTGTGAGGGGTTCAGGGATGGAGTGGTCTTTTTCCAATAAGGTGTCAGCCATTCCTCAGTTTCTTTCTTTTAAGACTTCTCAAGAAGATAGGCCAAGAAAATCTGTCAATGATCCTCTTGTGTCATCTGGGTTTATGCCTATATCAACTTCCGATGCTTTTGATTCTAAACAGAGACTATATTATGGTGCATTCCAGGTTTGTTTTGATACTATAGCATTTTTACTCCATCATTTCCTTCCTAAATCTCATGGAAATTATAGTCTGATTTATTTCTTAGACCCTTATTTTGGAAACTTGAAGTACAAGAATTCCATAAGACAGGAAGTTTTGACATTGTTATGGATTGTAGGCTACTCTGTATAGTTTGATTTTTCTGAAAATAATTGTTTATTCTCTCTCTTTTTTTTTTTTAAACTTTTTGGGGTTTTAGAAAAATACGGGTCCTGATAGACAAGGAGGAAGCCAGTATCCGATGACAGCATATGGGCTGCAGCAACATTTTGATGCATACACCACTCATCGGTCCCAGGAAGTGAGAATGTTCCCTGTCTCCAGCCAACCAAATCAAACAATTACAGTGTCTATGAGCTCTCCTATTCTTCAATCCCATCTCACACCCAATGGAAAACATTTGATTGGTAATGTTAAAAAAGCGCAGCCTCTTGGAGGAGTTCCAATCATGGCATCTCCAGTTTCCGTTGTTCCTGCATCAAGTTCAATTGTTGGTACAACTGATCTCAGGTACATAACATCTAGTAGCCTGATTTATGCAAGAATCTACTAATACAATGGTATAACTGGAATGACCAAGTTTAAATCGTTGCCTTCTTCATTGTTAGATATGCTTCGAAATCTTCTGGTGCACCTGCACAGCTCACCATCTTTTACGCTGGCTCTGTGAATGTTTACAATGATGTTTCTCCAGAGAAGGTATTGTAATCTCATATGATTATCCTATATGTTGACGTTTTGTATTATAAAAAGTTTAGTAGGATATTCTTCTTGACTCTTTACTACTCTATCCAGGCACAAGCTATTATGTTATTGGCTGGAAATGGATCTTCAGTGAACCATATTAATCAGCCACATCCTCTGGCTCAAGTTCAGGCTCGGCCTTCTACTGCCGGTGGCTATGACAGGAACGTGTCTCACAGCACATCACCTTGTTCAGCTGTTCAAAGTCCTATCGTTGTAATGTCTCATGTGGTTTCTCAGCCTGGAGGAGGATCTGGTGGGGTAAAAGAAGTATCAACAGTCAAACCTATTAGCTGCTTAGCACCTTCTAGCAACCAACAAGAGCCTTCCAAAGTTTTTAATTCAGCAGGATTTTCTGCTATTACCATAATTCCATCAGGTAATGACATTTTCGTTTATTTCTATTCGATTTCAGTAACATACCTTTTCGAGTTACAGTACTTTTTTATGTCATAGCTTCTGACATCACTAACATAGGATTACTGTGTTTGCAGTGGCTTTGCCGCAGGCTCGTAAGGCATCTTTGGCTAGGTTTTTGGAGAAGCGCAAGGAAAGGTATGCATTGATTATTTGGCAGTAGTATATCAACGTATCTTAGAAACTTGTAAATTTAGCTTGGTAAAATGATGAGGATTTATTGGACCAAGCTAATATTGACACCAAACTAAAAAATTGCCTTTGAGCTTTGAAGTTTAGTAAACGTAACATGCAATATTTGTCTTGTCAGGGTCACCAGTACATGTCCATACAGTGTAAGCAAGAAATCTGCAGACTGTAGTCCACCAGGATCTGAAGTTGTGAGCTTTTCTTTGAATTCTGCTGGGTCTAGTCCCGTACCAGCCATGAATTAGCAGTAGAGAAGGATTCTCTGGAAAAACCAAAACGGTGAGTGAACCCCCCTATATTAGATATGTAAGAAGGAGTCGTCCTCGTCAAACATTATTTTTGTTCTTAATTTTAAAGCTTCATTCTTTCAACCTCCAAAATTTAGCCCAAGTGTAATGTATATGTCTTTTGCTGCTCCAATTTTTTGTTCCCATTTCTCTTCGATGTTGATTGGAGTCCTTTTATCTGTTAATTAACGTCAAGAACACCTTGTGACTTTTAGTGACTTCCATATAATGTTGTATAAGCACTACGTGTACCTTTTAAAAAATACACACACACACATATATATATATATATATTTAACTTGTCTTCTCTAAGTTTCTCTATTTTGCAATATTTGATAATTCCCCTTATGGACGGAGATTGCTTTCCAAATAAGCTGAGGCCGATCAATATCAGTTTGACTTAAATTCAAAATTTGCTTCTGATTATGAAGTATTTCAGATTTTGGTGGGGTTTTTTTTTTTTTTTTTTTTTAAAACATTTATATAAGTTCAGAAGTTGTATCCTTTTTTATTACATACTTGTAAAGTTTATAAATCAAACATATTAACAAAATACATTTCATTTTTTTTTTGAAATTTATTACAAGCTAACTATACAAGTTTATAGAAAATAAATTAAAAATACTGTATTTTACATATTATAATATAATTTTATTCCACGTTATTGGATATAGAAAGCCCATAACCCGCGGCAATATTAAATGGTCCAACTTGAAGGTAATTTAAAAGCATATGGAGAGGCAGATCCTTTACGCTATGTTGGACCGAAGGAAGTAAATGTGAAAGGAAAAAAGAAAATGATGAATATTTTTAGTAGTGTCAGAAGAGTATAAGAGAATATTTTAAATAAAAGAATATGAATTACAAAATTATGAAAAGAAATAGACTTTCGTATAGCGTACATATAGGACAGAAAGTACATACTAATCATATTACAATAGTATGTAAATAATTAAATTACTTTATACAACTTTATAAAAATATAATTTTGTATGATATAAACCTTTTAATTGAGGTATTTTGACTCTCAATTCACCGGCTAAACGGGGTTTTAATCCTAACAATGATGATATTGGTGGTAATTTTTTGTACAAATTATGTTTTTTTCTACTATTTATTTAATTAATTTGATTAAAAAAGTTAACCAAAATTATTATTGTAATCAAATGCACTAAAATAATTACTGAAAATAACATTATATGGACTGTACTAATAATAATAATAATAACACATTATTATTATTATTATTATTACTATAGCTATTTAATATCTTTTTACTCATAGTACTTCTTTAAATAACAATATTTATTTATATAATTTTAAGATAATTAAATAAACAATAAATAGCAAAATAAGTGATATGTATAAAAAACTACAAGAAAAATGAATATAGTAAGTAAATACAAGTGAATGATTTTATTAAACATAGCAGATATTGTAGTAACTGAGAAAGGGAGGGATATATTTGTGTGTATATATATATATAAGGAGATAAATATGTGAATAAAATAAAAGGGAGAGGGAATAGTGAAATGGAGAGTGTAGAATAGATTAGTAGAGAGGAATGGACTGCTAGGATTTGTGCAGATGGGGAGAGGGGATAGACGACCAGGATGTGTGGTAGTAGAGTATAAAAAGAGAATAAGAAAAAAAAAAGGAAGGAAAGAGAAAAGCACAGAAAGAAGAGAGCGGGAAGGAGGAAAGAGGAGAGGAAAGAAGGTTCCAGAAAGAGAGAGAGAGGAGTCAGAGCGGAGAGGAGCGAGAAGGGAGAGAGAAGAAGACAGTGGACGGTGACGGTGCGATCGGCAGAAGGAAGACGAAAATGGGAGGTATGGTAAAAATCTTAGTTGTGTCGATTTTATGTGTGTTATAAGGTTATCTGTAGGTTGCGGAGTCCAGGTAGGCCGGATGTGGCGTGGCGGAGCTGAGAGGTGGAGGTAGAC